ATAGCTCAGGTTGTTCTGGAACCAACTCATGCTGTAGACCAAGCCAGCCTTCAACTTGTGATTACCCTCCTGTCTCAGCTTTCCAAGTATTGGGATCACAGGAATCTGCAAAGCTGGCTGATTACTTTTCTACAGTTTACTGTCTTTCTGTGATAGAATGCTTTCTGTTCAATTAGTAGTTGTCACACAGCCATTTTCTAAATACTCCAGTTTATTCACCACTTTGAACATAAAAGACTGTCTAGATACATCTGCTCATTTGTAAACAAAAGTAAGTCTTAAAAAGTGTTAAAATGACACTGCTCCCAGTCCTAGGGAGGAAAGTAATGGCTGAGATTTTAGTGACAGCAAGTGTTGTTTGCTCTTACTTATTTTGATTTTTGAACTATGTGAACAAGAATGACAAATATTTTAGTAAGTAACTCAAAATCAATTAGCATATTCTAGGTCTTTCTCCTCATAATTAGCCATTCCAGATATAAAGTAACATTAAAGACTATGAATTCACCAGAAATACTTGCAGAATTACAAAAACAACAGTAGCCAATTCATGGAACCAGCCTGGATGCTCATCAACAGATGAAGAAAATGTTTTATATAACAGTAGTGATTTTATTCAGGAATTAAAAAAATAATGCTATTTGTCGGAAAAGAGATGTATGGGTAGTCATCAGGTTAAGTGAAATAAGCCAGGCTCAAAAACATAAATATCAGATGTTCTCTCTTACTTGGAGAATCTAGATTCAAATAGAATAGTAGAAAGAGGACAAGGGGGAAGGGACTAAGGGATGTTAATATGAGAGTAAAAATAAAGATAAATATCACACATGTAGAATCTAGATTTAAGTGTGTGTGTGTGTGTGTGTGTGAGAGAGAGAGAGAGAGAGAGACATGGGGGTAAATAGAGGAGAGAGCACGCAAGAGAGACAAACTGACATTTTTAAGAAAGTGAAGCTAGAGACCATTATGTTAAGAAACATAAGCCAGACTCAGAAATACAGATATTGTATTTTTTCTCTTATGTGGAATCTAGATTTCAAAATAAAATATATGTGCCACATACACGTCATTCTAGCTGAGAAGTTCATCAGATAGAACTGATTATATTACCCATGTTTAAAGCTATAAAAGAGAAGGCAGAACTATGAGTAGACAGAAGGATGAACGGGTGTAAATCACCTGACACAGTGTTTCTGAGTTGGAGCCCCCAGAAGCCATGTAAGCAGGATATATGGCTGCAAATCAGTCTTTTGGATAAAATAGGAGGTAGAGCTAAGAGAATCCTTAGACACTTGTGGACCAGCTAGGCTAGCAGAGGCAGTGGCAAGACAAGAACCTTTCTCCAGCCGGGCAGTGGTGGCACATGCCTTTAATCCCAGCACTCGGGAGGCAGAGGCAGGCGTATCTCTAAGTTCGAGGCCAGCCTGGTCTACAGAGTGAGTTCCAGGACAGCCAGGAGTACACAGAGAAACCGTCTCGGAAAACAAACAAACAAAAAAACAAAACAAAAAAAATTTATTCTGTCTAGAAAACAAGACACATGGATCATGCCTGAAATCCCAGAACTGAGAGGGCTAGACTGCTGAGTTCCAGGTCAGCGTGGGCTGTACGGAGTGAGATCTTAGCATGAGCTACAGTGAGACCGTACTTCAAAATAAAGAACAAACTAAAAACAAATGAAAAGAGCCCCACAAGACTCTTACCTCTACTTTCTGTTTCAGTGCTTTAAACATGGACAATATAACATGCTCTTCTTCTATCTGATGTACTTCTTCTCGACTAGGCCAAATGTCATGCAGGTAAATTTCCTTGCCAGTAGGGTCAGTACCTAATCAAAATGTTAACATGGTATTCAGTACACATATTAAAACAACAACCGAAAACCAGCACCTCAAAGCACTCCTATCTTTTCAAAGAGAAGTCATAGAAATCAAGTAACTGATTTAACAACAGATGTGTCCCAGGCTTCAGTATTGCAAACCAATTACATCTACATCTCATATTCTTCAAATCAACAGACACATGGAGAGCAGAAAAGTGGACGGTATAAGAAAGAAACAAGTATTGCAGGTTTTCTTTCATATCAAAAAACTGGTTTTTACAACTTCTGGGAGAATGTGCACATAAGTATACATATGAACATACAGATAATATATAGGAAAACACACCTAACGGCTCCGTCTGGAAGTCTATATGCACTGTGCCTGCTATGGCATAAGCCACCACTAAGGGTGGAGAGGCGAGATAATTGGCACGGACACAATCACAAAGACGGCCTTCAAAATGTTTGTTTCCAGATAAAACTCCACAGGTAACCAAATCACCCTGAGGGGAAAACAAATAGACTTGATTCAACTCACACAATTATAAAATTATTTCAAATAATATAGTTCTGAGAGCCAGACAAACAAAAAAAATCTCATTAAGTTTTATGTAGAGAACTACAATTCTTATACTTTAATAGTTCCTTATATTACTAAGGAATTGTTTTTAAAATGTAGGACTAATTCTTTGTATTATTTTAAGATGCAGAAGTTACTTTTCCTAAGAGTTCCCAAGAGTGATGTACACTGTCTGTAATTTACTAACAAGATGTAGTTAAAACAACAACTCTCAAAGAAGCTCACAATCACTCAAAGTGTGTCTAATGTTTAAAACTAGCATTTATTAATTAACCCCGATGCTTAAGTAGATACTGAAGTATTTTTATTAAAAAATAAGCAACAATAAAAGCGCTCTTAGATGTGCTAATCTACATTTTACCTGTTTTACTGCATTCAAAACTGCTTCTGATAAAGGTGCTGTATTTCCTACACATGTTGAACATCCATAGCCAACTATTTCGAACCTGCATTTAAAAAGGGAAACGTGACTGGAGAATATATCATATTTGTAAAGAAAGGACAAGTCTTATCTCTTTATTTCTGTTATTACAGTAAGATTACTGTTTGCTTTGTAAGAATTAACCAACACATTAATTTCACACTTTTAAACATGAAAGTTCTCTCTGGTAGCATTTCTTTGTACTGATTATAAATCTTGGAATAGCCTGCATATCCACAGTATCTGTACTAGATCAAAAGTATTTATCAAACAGTATCAGAAAGCTCCTCTGCTGTAACTAGAGTAACCACTTTTAAAAGTCATGTGTTTTCACTGGAAAGGCATATTTAAAACTATACAACATTAGGATAGCATCACTGTAACAGTTTATCAAAGGTCCCAAAAGGGGTAAGGAGGCACTCTAGTGGGAGTAAATTATTCAACTCTCAACAAATTACAACTAAGAAGAATCCCTGACAGTAATTTCAAAATAAGATTACAAACATAAACCTCTAAAATTACTTTAACTGGTGCTCTAAAAGCAAAATAAAAAAATCTAAAATTTATGAGGGTTTAAAAAGGACTGATAATTTATGCAAAAATATTATTTTCCAAAATTACACTGTCACCACTTAACTATGAAAGAAATGTAAAAGTTGTTTCTCTTAAGCTTCACATAAAGCCAGGCAGTGGCAGCGAACACGTTTAATCCCAGCACTTGGGAGGCAGAGGCAAGTGGATGTCTGAATTCGAGGCCAGCCTGGTCTACAGAGTGAGTTCCAGGACAAAGAAACCCTGTCTCAAAAAACAAAAACAATCAAACAACCAAAAAAGCTTCAGACAAATTAACCTGCACATTGCAGACCCAATAACAGCAAAACCTGAATCAAAACAATTTGTTCAAGTCCCCCTCCTTGCCCTCCCCCACTGCTCTGCAAAACAAGGTTTCTCTGTAGCCCTGGCTGTCCTAGAACTACCTCTATAGACCAGGCTGGCCACATATTCACAGAGATCCCCCTGCCTCTGTCTTCCAAGTGCTGGGATTAAAGATATGTGTTCAATTAAATTAATCCACCTTGTTGTATTATTCTTTCACTCATGAGAACCATGCTCCCTCACACCACTCTAACAGTGCCCCCACTGTGACTTGGTTCCCCCTGTCCTGAGGCTACAGATCATGTGCCTGACTTCTAGTGCCTCGGTTATCAGACACTTCCACCAACGCCCGTTGTAGGCACCAGACTGTGTGACAATGGCAAGAGAACCAATCGTAGGCCCCCAAGTACGGCAAGCACGGCAAGCACGGCAAGCACGGCAAGCACGGCAAGCACGGCAAGCACGGCACCGCAGGCTTGGTCTTCCTCACTTCCCCCCTTCTCCCCTTGCTAAAATAAAAGCCATTCGACTGTATCGCTAAAGCTGGTTCCCAAGGTCTATACCCTTATTTGTCACTGACTCATTCATGAGACTAAACACCAAAGCCCAACAATCAAAATCCATTATCTGCGAAAAAAACCAAACCAAACCAAACCAAACCAAACCAAACCAAACCAAAAATTCATTATCTGGCAAACATCTAATCAAGATTTACCAACTCATTCTACTACAGATCCCCCCTTTTCTCCTTAAAAATCCATTCCTGAAAAAAAAAACAAAAACACCTGCTTGCTTCTTACTGCAGTGCTGTCTGCCTTTGTAGCCTCCCCTATCTGCTTGCCCCTCTGGGTATAAAATCTCCTTTGTACTGAGAACTTAGTGTCTGGGTGTGTCTTGTACCAACTCTGAGGGGCCATCCACCCTTATAAGTGGTGTCTTTCCTTTTGCCTTCTCTCTGACTCCTAACAAATGTATTTATCACCGGCTCCATACCAGCGTAGGTGTGAATAACAGTAAATGTCACTTACCCTAGCTTGCTTAGATAGGGTAACACTCCACTTGAACTGAGGTAATGTGTAACCATCCCGCTGCCTGGAGACAAACTTGTTCTTATATAAGGTTTAACTCGTAGACCAGTTTCAACAGCCTTTTTAGCTAAAAGACCTGTAAAATCAACAAACAATGACTATGACAACATACCCTTACCTCCTGCACATTAGAATAAAAACCAAGAAAAGGGTGTGGTAGTATCATAAACTACAATTAATAGTAAAAAGCTCAAATTTATAAAGTTTTTTTAAGTTTAAGATTGATTTATTTTTTAATGTCTATGAGTGCTGTTATCTGTATGTACACCTGCATGCCAGAAGAGGGCATCAGATCACATTACAGATGATTGAGTGCCACCATGTGGTTGCTGGGAGTTAAACTCAGGACCTCTGGAGGAGCACCAGTGCCCCTAACTGTTGAGCCATCTCTCCAGCCATTAAAACCTTAATATCATTACTCTGTGCATTTTACTCTACCTATTCTGCTCACTGAAGACGAAGTGAAAATCTTAGAAAAGTAGCATCATGCTGCAAATTATTAGGCGGTAAGCTAACACCATAGCATCACACAAACAGGAAAAAAAAGAACATACATATAACCGCTATTGATTGAGTCAATGTCATAATCATAGTAAACAAAGAGCAACTTAACACTGGTAGTGCTGTCGCCCTTTACACAAACTCATGTTATGTGTCTGTAATTCCGTGCTTGCACAGTATACTGTGATGGTAAACTGGTGGGAAAAATTCCAAGCAATACCTGCTGAGTAGTGTTACTTAGAAGTTTACTGAAGAGACAGAAACAATTTAAAATTAACAGATACATAAACTACAGTTTTTTTCAAAAGCTACCTTCTATGTAATAAGAATACTACATTTAAAAGCTAACCAATTAATGAAAAATTTCAGTGTCTCTCAATATAAAACACAAACATGGATACATTATCTAAGGAAGAGAAATATAACAGGAAACAAACAGTAATTGATATAGGAGAATATAGTTATAAATACCGACCTACCTGCAGCAAGCATCACAGATGGATTGCAATTATTGGTACAACTGATAACTGCAGCAATGACCACGGATCCATGGGACAGCTTATACTCACTTCCATCATAATGAACAGAGACAGTATCCCTTTGCTTTTCTGCTGCAACTTGGAAGCCTTTAAATCCAACCTATAAATTTGTATGTAAGTATTACAGACTTGGTGGGACTAACAGGAAACACAACTTGGATATCTGACGCCTGATCATTTAACAGTCAAAGTTCTACTGTGACACACAAGGTCTACAATTCACGTTAAACAAGACTTGAATTTTACAAGAGGAGTCTATTAGTGTTCATAAGCAGCACTTTTATATATTATGTGATTACAGTCAACCACGCAGAATCCAGTCCCAACTGAGATGTTTCCTAGTCATTTCTGCTTCTCAAACACACAGTAGAAACTCTTCCTATTCTAAAGATCTGCCCCAAATGACTCAACTGTGTGAGTGCAGAAGAGATGAGTAAGATTTACTTTGAGTTGGTAAGTGCTAAAGTTGCAGAATACAGCAATTCATCTGAAACCACCTTATTTCTGAAGAAGTTTATTATTTTCCAAAAAAAGTAAGGAAACTATAAAAGCAAGGACTGGGAGGCAAAGCCAACTCTATTGTTTCCTCACAGATGGCTGTGGAAAAACTATGGTCATGACTTTAAAGACAAAATCAGAAACCCCAGAAGCCAAGAAGCCAAGGTTATTTTGTTTTTGTTGTTTTTTTCAAATTCAATGAAAATAATTACCAGCGCAATGGTTTCTTCCTAGTAGGAAGAATAAAACAATAACATCCTTCAGTGATGTAGACGGTGTCTCTACTATCACGAAGCTAGCACTTGAAAGGAAACCACTGTGACTGAGAAACTTAACTCTATTAACCTTTGATTGCTTTAAATAGATATAATCCAAACTCTGACCCTCACAAGGCGCTGGCATACAACATACCGTATTAAACAAACAAACAAACAAGCAGTAAGTAGACTGAATTTAGAAATCAATCCCAAACCCTGTTGGCTCTTTACTACTTAGCACATAGCATAAAAGTAACAATAAAATAACTTACCTTTTCATTTAAGCAAGCCTGAAAATCACTTTTCATATCTGTTACAGCAACTCTATCCTGAGGCCTTTTTGGACCACTGACCGATGCAACTATTGAATTCAGATTAATCTGTATCACCTAGGAAAAACAGAGAGTGGAGGACGAAAAGAGATCAGAATTTCCAAGAATAAACACAAAAGCAGACATTACTGTATAAGCAGAATGAGTACATTTATTTTAATACAACTTGTAAAAACTATGGTTTCTCCTATGTTTTTTCTCTACATAAAAATACTATACAAGGGCTGAAGATATAGCTTAGTTGCTAGAGGGCTTGCCTAGCACGCATGAGGTCCTGGGTTCTACCCTGAGTGTCACATAACATCAGAGTTGATGATAGTATATTGCTTGTACTTCAAAAAGCAGAACAGAATGATTATTAGTTCAAAGCCAATTACTTCAAAAACAGAGACAGGATAGGATGACTATGAGTTCAAAGCCATCCTCAACTATATAGTGAGCCAGCCTGGGCTACATAAGGCTGCCCTAAAACAACAAAACCAAAACCATCGTCACAACAGAAGCCTGCACAAGAACCTCTGCTAACCATCAGCTCTGCCTCTGAGTTCTAATCTCAGCCATGCCTGACTCTTAGATCACGAAGTAAATGGTTAGTAAACCTGTCACCTCGTATGTGATGCCTGGTCAACAGAGCATGCTCAGGGAATGTAACAGAGACAGGTTTCCATTCTCTGTGTGGTTTCAGAGGATCTTACTGGCTAGTTTCCTATGAGATGGCTTTGATTTCTTGGTTAAAAAGTCATTATTTTTGTTAAAATCTGTTTCCAATTAGCTATTTATTTCTCTAAACATTAGCATTTCCTTTTGTGCATGTTATGTGGTTAGGTACAGCAAATTTAATAATTCTGATTCATTGGTCTCATCATAGCCAAGACTATTCTGAAGAATCTTACTATATTTAATACATTCAATGGATCCTAGTCTTTGACCTAAATAAATACTGAAGGAATTTTCTTTTAAAGATTTAGTTTTATTTTATATATATGATTATTAGCCAGCACTGTATGTATGTAAACCGTATGTCTAGTACCTGTGAAGGCCAGTAGAGGGGGTCAGAGACATAATGGTTGCTGGAAACCTACCCAGGTCCTCTGAGAAAAGCAGCAAATGCTTTTATCCACTAAATCATCTCTCTAGTCTCAAGAAGTTTCTTTTGAAATCAATGTCTTGATGGATTTTAGCTTTATTCCAACTATTGTCAGTTTACACGGTGAAAGAGGTTTTTAAAAACAAACATGGGCACCCTAAGCAGCCCAGGTTGGCCTTAAACTATGTAGCCCAAACTGGCTTTGAATTTACAATCCTCCTGCTACAGCTTCCGAGTACTGGGATTCCAAGTATGAACGACTATCCTTGGCACAGCTAGGACTTATTTGTGTGAGCATGGTCTTTTACAGTGCTGGCTGACCTTAAACTTACTACGGAGAGCTGAGGATGGAGCTGCACTTCTGATTCTCCTGTCTCCACCTCACTGTAGGTGACTAAGTACTGGAGACTGAAGCCAGGCTTTATGCATGGTAACCACTCTACCAACTGAGATGTATCCCAGCCTCTGGCTAGGATTTTCTAGGAAGTAATCAATTCAATTTTACTTTACCAGTCATTTTTTTTTCAAAATCATAGACAATAGAAGTCAAAGGGAAAAGAAAATGGAAAGAGTTAAAAGATTTTTCCAGAATCTTGTAAATTTGGTTTCTACTTCTTTTATTATGGCTTTCAAGACTCTTCTAAAAAATGCCAGCTATGGTAGCTTACATCTATAATCCTAACATTCAAGAGACTGAGACAGCAGAACAGCTTCATATTTGACCTTATTAAAAACAACCTTTTGAATGCACTCTCTCATATTCTGTTCCTTCCCTCTCTATCTGCCATCTTTTCTGTCTCTATCTCAGTTCTACAAATTAGAAACATAACATCAAAACAAAGTTTCCTACATGGAAATCATTGTGTTCTAGCTTAAGGGAAACATAAGGCTGTAAATATTTAAATTAAATTATATGAGACAGAAACACGCTAAAAAAAAAAAACAAAGCTGGGTGAAAAAAAAAATCCCTGCCCCCCTACAGGTGGGACAGCAAAACCATAATTATACCAAATTGATATCAACTTTCCTGAATGTGAATTCTACCTATGGCACCAAAAATATCCAATAGATAAGAATTGTAAAGTACTTGGAACATTTAAGACCATATAACAATAGAACGATGCAAAATAATCATAAACCAGATGCAGAAAATCATAAAAATTGCAATTTGTGGAACAGTGGGAATATTACAGTGCTGCATCCTGAATCAGAAAAAAATTAAAATTTAGAGTTGATATTTTAATACTTATGAAAAGGCAGACCAGGAGTTGGAGAGATGGTTCGGTGGTTAAGAGGCTACACTCCTCTTTTAGAGGATCCAAGTTCTTTCCCAACACCCATGTTAACTTTAACTCCAGGGGATCTGATGTTCTCTCCTGGCCCCTGTGGGCACCTGGACACATGTATGTACCTGCTCTCATAATTAAATATAAATCAAAATGGTAGATTTTACAAAACATTGCAAAATTTACTACAACCAGAATCTATCTAAACGTCATTATAAAATCAAAATAATGGGTTAGAGATGGACCTTCTTATTAACAGCTATCACTCATTAAGCACAAATTACATTGCAGGAACTGCTCTACAAATTTGCATTTAATCTAAGACCTCTGGGGAGCACACTGCCCAAAGCTACCTAATTAGTAAACGCTTATAAAAAGGATATGCACAAGCACTTATCCTTCTATTCACTCCTAGGTGAGTTACTTGCAAATACCTGAGAATATTCAGGTTCTGAAGAATTCTCATCATTTCTAAACAATTTCACAGCTTTAAGGTATTTTTCCATGAACTCAAGTTTGGTTTTGTCAAAACCTAAAAAAGAGGAACAGCAAAATAAAATGTAGTAAAGAATTCCAAGATCTTGACGACAGCCATGCGAAGCTGCAGTGGTAAACGAAGTCCACTCACTCATGCACCCTTGACTTGCACTTGTCTCTTGTTCTGCTTACCCTCGACAGACACCACTTACCAGTCCTATCTGCATGAGGAAAGCACACGGACACACCACACTAGGCATATATGAGTGGATGTGTTGACAACCCTGAGTCCACAGCTGACATTCATGTGAGTACTCTTCAGAATTCCAGATCCTAGCTTGTGAATTGTGCAGTTGAGGCCCTAGACACAAAGCAGCAACAAGCTCTTCCTGCTGTGCCCTGTCAGAAATCACTGACCCACTGAAACCATGAGGCAATAAATGATTATTATTGGGTTTGTTTTTGATTGGTCAGGACCTTGTGGTCCTACCAGCAAGTGCTCTACCAGAGCTAAACAGCCCTACTACTGTTTTGTAAACCATTCAATTTTAGGCTAGTTTGCTATACAGTTAAAAAAAAAAAAACGTCACCAGTGTCTTAACTCAGGCAAGAATGTAAATAATGAGGTGAAACAGAGCTGGGGTTCAATAAAGCTGGGGTTCAGTTTAACACAGACAGGGTTAAGAGAGAAATGCTCATAAAGACACACCCGAGAGCATTAGTGCTGGCTTCTCAAAAAAGTATTGTTTTGTGCATTTTAAGGGCATCATATAATCTACTGTTTATTGGCTGTTTCATGTAGTCACTCATAATAATATGCCCACAAACAGAAGAACACAGATTCTATCTCTCAAAATGTATCTTTCATTAGGGGTAAATAGCTCAACAGCAGTTTCTTCTGAATGGAAAGGAGACTTACTATTCAGACAATAGAGGTTTTATGAAATATGAAGTATCATTCTGAGGGTGGCTTCTATAGTGATCAGGGTGATCAAAGATCCTTGCCAATAAAGCTACACAAAGATCTTGAACCTGCAACCCTACACTGCTTCTCACTAAAAGATCTCGTTTGCTTGCACCTCTCTCTACTAAGGATAGGCAAGAGGGTTGTTCTTGTAAGAAAAGGGTGACAAGATTATCAGTGGATTAATTCCTTTAACATGCTGTCAGTGGATCACAAGGGACTATGTTTCAAGGCGTTTTTTAGGGACATCAATTGAGTCACTTTTTCAAAATAAAACAGTTTGATAAGTATTCAATAGCATATATGACATAGTAAAGGACTATCAAACAGCTACAGTGGGAATGCAATCATTTTATATTCTCTTACCTGTATGTTCTAAATGTCGTAGTGTCACATTGTCAACAGGGAAAAAGCTGAGGATAGCACCATATTCTGGACACATGTTTGCTATGGTAGTTCTATCGACAATAGATAATTGTGAAACTCCACTTCCAAAGAACTCAACAAACTTTCCAGCCACGCCTACTTGCCTGAGGTGCTTTTAGAGATATGCAAAAACAACACAGTAGAAGCAATGGTAAAATTAGCATGGATTTCTAGAAAAGCCAAAGTCAGATTTTTTTCTATAAAGTTAAATTTTTAACCAATACTAATGATAAGGTCCTTTATTGTATGAAACAAATTCATTCTAGTTTTACTGGTATTTTAAGAAAAGGAGGAGGAGGAGGAAGAAGAGGAGACAGAAGAAGAGGAGGAGGAGGGCATAGTGGCTCACACAGTTAATCTCAGCATCTGGGAGGCAGCGCAGGTAGATCTTCACAACAGCCAGAGCTACATAATGAGACTCTGTGTTAACAACAAAACAAACACTCGAATGCACCAAAAAAAAAAAAAGAAAAAAGGAAGAAGAAAAAAGAAAAAAAGAAAAGAAAAAAACAACCCTCATAATAATATCTTTGAAACCAGAGACTATCTTAGATTCATCAGAATGCCCACATAGCTGGCAGCCCTTTGCTTCCTAATAGCACATAAAACAATTGTGTTCTAACTACTGTTGGCATCCTGTAGTTTAAGAAATAATATACTTATGAGAAAAACTATACAGTGAATTTAAAATTATATGCTGGTGTACACAACTCTAATTATCAGTATTAACTTAAATATTTATAGCAACATTATTCTAGGTAAATTCAGTTTGGTCAGATTTAATACATGGTTTAAAGTAAATTCCTCTGAAAATCATTCATTCCTACCAAGTAACTGAAACAACTTTTCGTCTTTGGTTTTTTTGGTTTTTCGAGACAGGGTTTCTCTGTGTATCCCTGGCTGTCCTGGAACTCACTCTGTAGACCAGGCTAGCCTTGAACTCTCGAACTCAGAAATCCGCCTGCCTCTGCCTCCCAAGTGCTGGGATTAAAGGCGTGCACCACCACCGAGCAGCTAATCTTTGGGGTTTTAATTACTTATTTTTACTTTGCATGTGTTGATGTTTTTGTTTGCATGGATATTTATGCACCACTTTCGTGCTCACTGACTGTAGTAGCCAGACGAGGGTGTTGAATGTCCTGGAACTGGACTCCAGGCTTCTGATCTTAGTTTTTAAGGATAAAAAGAAAAATAGGGGGAGCTGGAGAAATGGTTCAGTGGTTAAGAGTATATACTCCTTTTCCAGAGTACCTGAGTTTGGCTCCCAGCACCCATGTTAGGTGGCTCACAATGGTCTTTTAACTCCAACTCCAAAGGGGCCAGAGACCCTTTCCTCGCCAGTATGGGCATCTTATTCATGACCACAAAGGCATACATGGATACAGACATATACATAATTAAAATAATAATGCAAAAATTAAAAGACTTGAAAAAGAAAGGAAAAATAGATTAGGCCAAGTGTTGTCTTTATCAAGTTAATGAAGTGTCATAATATGTATCTGGGAAAATAACATGGTTAATCCTAAAAATACCATAAAAAGAACAGGTCCTCAACAGAGAAGAAATATATCCAATGAATACATATAATGGATAAATATTATCTCACGATAACCTGCTAACCACACAAATAGTAATACTGTTAAAACAGCCATAAAAATCTGAAAGCAGTGTGTTTTTAGGATGTCTAAAGAACTAGTTTCTTTAAAATCAAAATAGCACACACTTCTTCTGCTAGGGGTAAACTGTGCATTTTTCAACTGAACTTTGTGATCTTTGTTACCAAGTACTGAATTAATCATCTTACTATGATGTCAAGTTTTTCCAGCTAGGGAAAATAATCATTATTACTACTGAGGAACTGGCACGATTGTTTCACCTTGTGGAGATGCTTCAGTCACCACACCAGTAATTTAACCAAAACTGCAGAGAAGCAATCCACATTGGAATTGTGTGTGAAACATGTTTCAAGTGCAAGTATTTTTTAAAAATGGAACTTAAAGTTAGTGAAAAATAGAAAAATTAGGGCTGTAATGTTAGAACGCATTATTCACTATGAGCATATGCAGCTAGTGTTTTTTCCCCCAAGTTCCAAGAAAGCTACATACTACCTCAAAATACTGTTAAAGCTAACAGTGGAAAAGTCTGACACTATCAAATTTCTACTATTCATGTTTTAAAACATTATCTAGTCATGGTTTTGAAAGAGACTTTCTTTAAAGAAAAAACTGGGGAGGAGGGCCAGATAGTCCAGGGTGTCCAATATAAGTCACGGCATACATGCACACATACAAAAAAATTTAAATATATAAGTATAAAAAAAGGCTTTTTAAAAGTGGAGGCAGGGCTGGGCTAGAGAGAAGACTCTAAAGTTAAGAGCACTGACTGCCCTTCCAGAGGTCCTTAGTTCAATTCCCAGGAACCACATGGTGGCTCACAACCATCTGTAATGGGATCTGATGCCCTCTTCTGGTGCCTGAAGCAGCTACAGTGTACTCATGTATGGAAAACAAACAAAGAAATAAACAAACAAACCTTAAAAAAAGAAAAAGAAAAAGAAAACCCTGGGAGTAGGGACTAGAGAAAGAGCAGTTGGTAAAATAGTAAAAGTTCTTAAGCACAGGGCCTCACCTTGATATCCAGAACCTTAGTTCAAAATGTCAAGCATGGCAACAGTGCTGGAAAGGCAGACAGGCAGGTCCCTAGCTAGCTAGCACAGCCTAACTTGAAGAGATTCAGACCCAGGCCCAAGCCAGTGAGAGATTCTGTGTCCAAACAAAGGCATCAACAGAACACAGTGTTGCATGCCCTCTACCGGCACTTGCACATCCATGAACATGGATATACACATGCAAATGCACATAACAAAATTCTTTTCTGGAGGATGGCCTCTTATCTCATGATCTTCCTGTCTCAGTCTCTTGAGTGCTAGGATTATAGACATGTGCCACCATACTTGGCTTCTTAATTAAATACTCTAATAACATTTTGTTGTTTTACAAGACAGGGTCTCTCTATGTAGTCCCAACTGTCCTGGAACTTGCTATATAGAACAGACCAGCCAGCTTCCAAGTCACAGAGATCTGCCTCCTGTGTGCTGAGATTAAAGGAATGTGTTACCACCCCGAGTGTAAACCTAACATTCTTTTATTCTTTTGAGACAGGGTTTCTCTGTGTAGCCTTGCTGCCCTAGAACTCACTCTACAGACCAAGCTGGTGTATGCCACAAAGAGTTTGGGTGTGCTGGGAGAGTCCTGGGAGTAAAGGCAGGCACCACCACTCTCCTACTCCCCACTCCAGCTGAAGAGTAACATTGTAAATATCCATGCGGTCAAGTGATTTATTGAGGCAATAATACCTGTTAAGGGCATGGACTCCTGGGTCAGAAGCCTGAGTCTACTACTTAGTATTTAGCTGTGCTCCTCCTCTGATAAATGATTAGGCTGCACGTATTTTATTTTGGATTAAAATAATTGCAATAGTAACTACTTCATAAGCTTGTAGTGAGGTTTTCTGATAAATGTGTTGACAAGTTACAAGTACGCAATGATCTTTTTTTTTTGTTGTTCCAAGTATATATTATATGTTACATTTGTTATAGTTACTATGACTTTAGGAAACAGGTAATAATGTGAGAACTAAGGATAGAGGCATAATTCCCAACCCCTTAAATCTCTTGTGGGGCTGCTCCACTTACATAAAGATGTTCAAAAAGTAAGTCATGGAACAACCATAATTTGAGCTTACCTTTGTAATGCCGAGGACAATATCTATGGATGTAACAAAAGCATTGGATGACCCAGTTAGCTCACATCCAACCACCTCTGGTAAAGTAAGAGTAACTGGCAGACCAAGCATAACTGCCTCTGTCTCAATGCCTCCAACTCCTGTTGAGAAGGACAAGTGTATCAGCGCAACTTAAATTAGCCATGTGCCTTTAAAAATCTCCCATGTTTCGTGAGTGTGACTTACATAGCATCTTACAAGGAACATATTTTCACTGTGGACCTTGAACCTGAACCTCTTTAAAAGGATGACTCCACTTACATTATTAAGATAACTCGTATTTTAACCTTATATTAAATTTAATGAGTATTTTCTGAGTATGTTACGCACTATTCGATGAGCAACAAACATCTATATCTACCTTAGTCTAATAAATGGAATCCAAGACGGAAAAAACCCAACAGTTATAATACTCTATAAAAAAAAATTAGAGTAGGATACTCTTAAATTGGTGAGAAGGATTAGGGATTTCAAGAAGCAACTGGGCTTAATCTTAAATAGCTATTAATATTAGTGACATTTCAGAAATAGGGATAATGGGCCTGGAGTGGTGCTGTCAGGACACTGGGCAAATGTTTTTTCATAAATCACCTTTACTATATAATATACAAACTCTTAAATTGGTTTGTTGCTTCAAAAAGGCTATCTGTCCCCTGATGTTTTTGGTATCTCTTCTTAAAAAGAAATGAAATATACTTACTTACCCCACCCAAGAATCCCCAATCCATTCACCATGGTTATATGAGAATCTGTGCCAACTACGCTGTCTGGGAAGAGTAGGTCCGTTTCTTCAAAAACTACTCTTGATAAATATTCTAAGTTCACTTGATGAGCCATTCCAGTTCCAGGAGGGATGACTGCCACATTCTTAAAGGCTCCTGAGCTCCACTAGATTTTGTTTGGATTGAAGAGACATGGTGTTACTAGTGCATTGTGTAACTTTGTATTCATAATCAAGATACAAATAATAATTGACACTAAAATATAGCCAACTCCAAGTTTATAAGAAATACTAAAAATACACAGATACTGAGCATTATACACATTAAAACCCAAATGAAGCTAGGCATAGCTGTGTACCTATAATCCCAGCAGTAAGGAAGCTGGAGGCAGGAGAGATTAGTTCAAGGCCGTTCTCAACTATTTATCAAGCTCTAGGACAGGAACTGCTCTAAAATTTAAGGAAAGCCAAGGAACGAGATTATCCATGGCTCATGTAAAATACAGCCACTGATTTCATTATTATTTATTATTGTTGGTTAAATATGCCAAATATGAGGTTTCCAATAATTTGGTACAAGAAAGTCCCATGACTATAAAGCTTTCGCTAATGACAAGTCTAAATCTAAAAACTTTACAGAATCAGTATTTTATAAATGCTAATCAAGAATTCCACAAATCATGCATACCTTGAAAAATTGAAGCCTCTCTCGATTTCTGCCAAATTCTACTTCTTGATTTTTTAACACTGTCTCAGGTCTAAAAGGATGAAACGCTGGTATTAAATACATGTATTACTAAAAAAAAATCATTTGTCTTGTGTCAAGTCTTCACTGTCAACATTAAAAAAAAAATCTCTGTAAGAATTTCTCAGGTGTTTTTTTTTTTTTTCAGAAGTATTTTCTTTCTCATCAAGAAAGCTATTTCTGCCTTACACAGCATGCAAGACAAATACAGAACTATTATTTTACTGAGTATAACAAGTCAGCATCCACTGAGTGCTCAGTCTGCTGTGGGAAGCCAGTCAGACCACAATGGAGGTAAGCAAGCCGTGCTGGAAGGAAAGGGACAGTGAGTTTCTTTCATCAGTGAGTTGCACTTTCACCCCTGTGGTTCTTGTACCACGTAAAACAAGGGAATGAACACCACTGACATACTGAACATCGCCTTATAATTTACAGAGACCTCTTCACAAAGTCTTTTGTTCAACTCACTGAAAACGGAAACCTCTGCTTCATGTTTAAGTAGATTATGTGGGTTATAAATACAGCTTACAGAAACTTAGTATTTAAAACTGCCTAAGTTATTTACTTCACCTAACAGCTGGTGACTTTTCTAGAGTTATCAATAGAAGTTAATAATTGTATGTAACCTGGGTTCTAAAAATTATAATTCTTTGTGAACTTTTTAAAAAGCAAAGCTTATTTTAATAATTCACAGCAAGTGAATTTTGTAGCCACAACATATTGTAGAGGCTTTACCCCACCCTTAGAGAACAGTATTCTAAAGTCACTACTATTAGCTCACAGCACTTGGTGCTACAAAATGTCTTTTGTGTGTTAGATTATAACATGCTTTCAAAATTAGACTGCTGCCAGGGGCCAGACAGTCAACTTCCAACGATCTAACTCTTGCAATGGTCCCAGGTTAAGTTCTCAGCACCTACATGGCATCTCACAACCATCTGAAACTACAGTTCTAGGAAATCTGTCTGGTACCCTCTTCTGGCTTCTGAGAGTTCCTGCATATACATTGGGCATTGAAACTCATGCAGGTAAATGCATATTATATATTAAATAAATAAGTTTTCTTAGTCATTCTGAGTCAGTAAGTATTATCAGAATGTTACTTTGTATATATGCTGCTCTCCCAAGTCAACACACACTTAATAATCAGGAAAAATGGTTATTAAGAGTAAGGAGTTACTAGCCGGGCAGTGATGGCGCACGCCTTTAATCCCAGCACTCGGGAGACAGAGGCAGACGGATTTCTGAGTTCGAGGCCAGCCTGGTCTACAGAGTGAGTTCCAGGACAGGCAGAGCTACACAGAGAAACCCTGTCTCGAAAACAAAACAAAACAAAACAAAACAAAACAAAACAAAAACAAAACAAAACAAAAGAATACGGAGTTATTTCATAAAACTGTTGGAGCTGTATAACAAAATTGTCGGGGTACATTTTATATTTAATCCCTAGGAAGGGCATAGGTTATCACTATAATCTAAAGTCTTATAGAAATACTAAGCAAAGATTTTAGAAATAGAACTTCAAAGACTCAATTCAAAGACAAACTTACTGTATCATTTGGCATTTATCATGCAGATGTGTGAATACTTTTCTTAGCAATTTAAAACTTTAAATATTAAATACATCTTAAAACAAAAGTGTATTTATCTACTACATGTTTTTATTTAACTTTTCTGTGTATGTGCATGAATATATGTCTGTGCCCCACATACGTTCATGAGCCTGCAGAGGAGACTGTGGTGAGCCGCCATGGACTCTGGGAATTAAATCCCAGTCCTCTGCAAGAGGAAGAAGTACTGTTAACTATCAAACCATCTCTCCAGTTCTGTTTACTAAAATTTTTAAAAAGCTGATAACTGAGCAAGAGGGCAAAGCTTTCTAACTTTATAGCAGGCAAGAATGGTGGCACACATTTTTAATGACAACACCTGGAAGGCTGCGGCAGGAAGAGTATCTAGCATTCCAGGACAGCCTCGATATAGAAGGCATATTAGAATGTAGCTGTGAAAGTAATACAACAGTAATCAGAAAATGTGATTTTCTTAATTGAAAAATAATCTGGGACTGAAACTATTAACAGAAATAATGTCATACTCAGGCACTGGTTGCAAATGAAAAGGACACAGGACAGGAGTATTCTCAATCTGTGAGGAAAATGTTCCTGAGTTCCGGCTTAGTTCTCCAGCATCACACGCTCCCCGGCAGGCAGTCTGGCCTCGACAGAGAAGCTTCTTAGGCTGCACTTTAAGTGGCGAGAGCTTTCCTGCTTTCTGTGGGTCACCACCTCCAGGATTTGGTGCATTCTGTATTGCACTATTATTTCAAAAAGGAAACAAAGTAATAATTTACAAGTGACAAAAACTTTAACTTAAAAACAATTCACATCATCAAGACTATCTGGAAGTGAAAGCTGCTCAACTTCCATAAAGTTGGACAGTGGCAGTCACTGCAATCCCAGTGCTTGGAAGTCACGAGGACTGACAGGAACAAGGCTAACCTTGGCCACACAATGACATACTGTCTCAACTCTCTCAACCACCCCAAATTGAAGTAGTTTTTACTCAGGAGAGTGAAAACATAATCCTAAATACCCCATGTAATCACACACCTCTCTGCCACCCCATAGACGTGAATTTCTTTTAATGTGATATGCAAAAGAAGGAAAGATGAGTTTGATAAATATTTTAAATTTTTAGATAGAATCTCACTATGTAGGCTTGGCTGACCTGAATACCTTATGTAGAGCAGGCTGGTCTTGAATTCAGATCCACCCTGTCTCTGCCTCCTGAGTGTCATGATTAAAGCCAGATCTGGTATTATTTTACATGCTCCATACCAATGTGAAAACTTTTGAGAAAGTAAACTACACTTTTTTTTCAACGTAATAACTTAAAGAACATAGATATTTAAAAAAAAATGGTATTGACTCTCTCAAGAGTTAAGATAAATTCCAACTATCATTCCACAACTCTGGAGAGATGGCTCAGTGGTTAAGGGCACTGACTGCTCTTCCTGAGGTACTGAGTTCAATTCCCAGCAACCACATGGTGGCTCACAACCATCTGTAATGAGATCTGATGCCCTCTTTTGGTGTGTTTGAAGACAGCTACAGTGTATTCACATATATAAAATAAAAATAAACCTTAAAAAAAAATCATTCCACAACTCTATGGAGTGAAAATGAAGACAAACGGCAGAGACCAGAAAGCTGATCTAGTCTGCCCTTTGTCAGTGGAAGGAGAGCAAAGCTTTAACGGACTCAGCATTTCCAATAAGTAGTTAGAGACAAATCGTTAGATTTGCTCTAAAAGGTAAGTAAACTAAAAAATCAAAACAGAACTGAAGCCACTGTGATGGTGCACACCTGTAATCCCAGCCCTGGGAAGAAGAGGTAGTTTATAAATAGGTTCAAGACCAATCACAGCTAAACAGCAATATCCTGACTCAAGAGAGAGAGGGAGAGAGAACTTAATTCAGATATTCATTCCAAAAGGCAAGTTATAAGCCTACTTCTATCAAACACAGTAACAGAAATACACAAATATGAAAGGAGCATTAAACTCAAAATAAGTACAGAAAATTACAGCAATCCACGAGTTCCTCTGGTTTTTCTTTAATGTGCTAGTCAGTAAAGCACAACAGGCTTTACTCTGGCCAGAAGCGCTATCCCTACATCCACACTACCCACTTCCAGTTAACGAGTGCTATGTCCTCATACACGTCTGTATTGCAGTACCATTTACTGAAGTCAATCTGTAAAGAGTGGTCAACTGTGAGATCTGTTGGACAGACAGGATGGACTTTCGTAGGATCACCTCCAAGAGTTTTCACTGCCTCCCTCATAGCAGCAAAATCCACCATTGCTGGTATTCCACTAAAAAATAAAGAACAGTCAAGTTATAGGTCTAATTTCTTAATACTCACTTGCTTCCATTCTTAAAAAACTATTTCTTTTTTATTTTTGATTATTTTGATAATGATATAGTTAGATGTACTCCCGGTTTTGTAAAAATTAACACTAAATAGTATCCAAGAACTTCAGTGGTCAGGAGTAGAACTGCCAAAAACAATAGAAGAAATGATTTTTTGGAGGTATAAATGAACACCAGAATTGGCTGTGCAAATCCTCCTCTAGGTCCTTCTCCCACAGTCCTTGCAGATCTCAAAAGGCTATTCATAACAGCCTTTCCCATTGTACATTCATCCGAGAGAGTGTGTGACTGTGTCTGTATTTTAGACAAACATGTACCATATGACTTCAATATTCTTCATACCAAAGATATAAGGCAAATAGGACACAGTACTGATTACAGAACAGTAACATATGTACTAAGCAGCAACATATTGGAGATGCCATACATTAGTGGTCAGTGGCACATAAGGCTTGTATGGTTATGAGTGGATGAGGGGGTGCTCTCTTCCAACATTCATTAATATCTCATAAACAGCCAGCAGAACAAGAAGGGTCAGTCTTTTAGGATACTGTAAAGAATCTGGATTTTATTCTGTGATGGAAGGCAATATATGTGGAAGAATGAATGGTAACTTTAGATTTTTAACCAAGTCATCCCATACTGGGGACTCCACATGTGGGAACAAGGCCATCAAGTTAGAGACTATTGCACTGTCAATATAAGTAATGTAAAATGATGCTGTCACTCACGTGAAATCTTGAAGAACAACACGGGCGGGGAAAAAGGGCACTTCAACATTGCTCTGTTTGGTTTTCCAGTCCAAAATGTTCATAACATCTTCCTTTTTCATTAAAAAGCCATCACAATTTCGTACAGCAGCTTCCAATAGGACCCGTATTGAATAAGGCAGAATATCTGATTCAAGATAAAATATTACTATAAACAAGAAGTTATGTCTACACACCGTAAAAAGTACAACAGTATAAATACATATTGAAAAGCATGGAATATTGATACAGTAATGAAGACAACCCTATTGTCCCGGTTATGTCTCAATTGGGAATTTGACACAGCCTGGGGTGATCAGTTGAGGTACTGCCTAGATCAGGTTAGCCCGTGGGCATGCATATTGGGGATTGTCTGATTACCAATTGGTGTAGGAGGATCCAGGTCACTGTGGACAGTCAGTCTTGGGCTGGAGAAGACAGTGAGCCAGAGAACATGCCAGAAAGCCATGGTCCTCCACAGCATTGCTTCAAGTTCCTGCCTGAGTTCCCATCCTAAACTATGGGCTGTGTAAGATGAAACAAACCTTTCCTTCCCTAAGTTACTTTCAGGCATGGCAGTTGTCAAAGCAACAGAATAAGATTAGAACGCCTGTTACACTTTAAGATGGAAGCACCACTCACACAGAGTGACCTGGAAGGAGGGTAAAGCACTCTCATCCTGTCAGTAATGACTCTAGTGACACACTTCCTCCAGCAATGCTGCACCACTTCCCTAAACAGTGGTAAAACTGGGAACTGAGTGTTCAAGTAACTGAGCCTATAGGGAGACACTACTCCCTCAAATACCACTACGCACAGGAAATAAACACATAGATACTTTTTTTTCTTTAATTGCAATGTTGGGCCAGGCATGGTAGCACAGGCTTTTAATCCCAGTACTTGGGAGGCAGAGGCAGGCCTCTATGAGGCCAGCCTGGTTTACAGAGTGAGTTCCAAGACAGCCTGGGCTACAGAGAGAAACCCAGCCTTGAAAACACAAAAATAAAAAACAAACAAAACAAAAATGTAATGTTTATAATCCACAAGAGCCAAAAGGAAGGCGCCAAACCTACATAATTTTGAACAGTATGAAGTGTATACAGAAATCTGGTTAAGGACTAAGCAGACCAAGCACCCGGACCACCTAGAGCTTTCTAAGTGGGTACAGTAGAAGCTGGACAACTATGAAGCACAGCTTCAAAATTCCAAGTCAAAATTATTTTCAGTCCTGAAATTTATATACATTCATTTTATTCCCTTGGTATCTTCCTTTCTTAAGAAGTTTGTGAAAGACATGTTCTATAAAACAAATATAAACAAAAATATGAAGACTAGAAAGTAGCTTCCAACACAGGTGGAAGGGTAAAGAGACTCAGGGCACTGGCTGATAGGGACAGTGTAACCAGTTCTCACTCAACTGGAGTCTAGATGCAGTGCTGCTAAGAAAAGGGGTGTAGGGAAGATGACAGGTTCCTTGATTATCCCATCAGGAGTATAGACCTGGAAACCAGACATACTGATTATGGGTAAGGACATAGAAAACTTCCTCCTCTCAGACTCCTTTGTTCTTTCATCCTGTCTAAAACACCAACTCTGACGCTAAGTTTTCTCCAAGTTGAAACACTACCTCCTTGCGGGGAAGTGAAGCTTGGAAGAACGAGGAAGCGTATGAGGCTCACCACACTCGATCGATTGGTTGATGAGACACACAACCAAAGCAAAGCAGGCTGAACCTGAGGCATACCTGGTGAAGGTTCCAAGATGGCTAGCCTTCTCTACATGTTATGAGAAGAGTATGCCTCTTTGATAAATATGGTCTGAAAAGTACAGGGATAACCTCAAATGGATGATCAGTTACAAAATATATTGCAGTCCCTGAAAATAGCTCATACTGAAATGTGAACAAAAGCAGATTGTTGCAGTTGTAGGGGCTTCATACCTCAAGCTCAACTGTCTGCATGAAAGAACTTGACCATTTACTATTTTAACTAGAAAAAAAAAAAACATATAGATAGTATTCTCCACATTAGCCAGACTTGAAAGGAAGATGAAAAAAGGGAAGAAAAAAAGAGAAGATGAGAGGATGGCATGCCATTCCTTATAGCTGGCAAGAAGCATAAGGGAAGCAGAATATAATTAAGATCTGTGCTACAAAAAAAACCCTTTCTGGGATCCGAAGACTTGGAACCCATGGGAAGAACCAATCTGACAGTGGGGAGGAAGAGAATGAGACAGAAATTAATAAAAGATACCCCTTAGGTCTGACTGACCTTTAGAGGAAGGAAAAGCCATGATTCGATAGACAGACAGTGGCCTTACTAATGGCCCAGTAAAGGAAACTATATAACCAGGGAATACTTAAGTCTATGAGCTTCCTTGAACTAAGAAAGACTTTTTAGGAGCTGGAGAGATGGTTTAGTAGTTAAGAAAGACTTTTTAAGCAAATGAAAGAATTGCTCACAGCCTGGCTTTTGAGGCTGTGGGACATGGATGTGGGTGGTGGCAACGTGAGTGCCATAGAGGCAAAGTAGCTGAGTAACAAAACTACGCATCTTGAAACAGAAGCTGCATAATCCGAGGTTCTAACAGAAATGCAGTGGTTTGAATAGGTTTGGCCTCCACAGACTCATGTACATGAATGCCTGGCACATAGGAAGTAGCACTATTAGAACATGTGGCACTGTTAAGAGTAGGTGTGGTCTTGTTCAAGTAAGTGTGTCACTGTAGGGGTGGGCTTTGAGGTCTCCTATGCTCAAGCTATACACCCAAGGTGGCACACAGTCTACTGCTGCCTTCAGATCAAGATATAGAACTCTCATCTCCTTCTCCAGCACCATGTCTGCCTGTTTCCCATATTGAGTCCATGATAATGAACGAAACCTCTTAAATTGTAAGCTAGTCCCAATTAAATGTTTTCCTTTATAAAAGTTGCCATGGTCATGGTGTCTCTCCACAGCAATAAAACCCAAACTAAGACAATAAGGAAAATCAATCTCCAGTGGATTTACTAATATAAACCATGAAAGGTATTTATTAATACACTGTGATATGTCAGTCTCATGTGTAAGAGCCCCTGGAAGCAATAAAGAAAGGACAGCCATTACTATAAGAACTAGACTTCTGAGTGGCAGTGTATGATGTTCAGCTCTCTAGGCCTGATAAAATTGTGCACACAGATAGTTAGGAAAATGAAGTTTCAGTGGCTTTGCTGAGTTCTATAGTAAGATGTAGTCTTTAGGAAATAGAAGGGGCTCTAGAGAACATTAATGACTTAGACACACAAATTAGGTTTATAAAGTGCTAAAGAAATCAAGGGATGATAAAGAAGGATAAAGCAGATAAAGGGGCCTCTCGAGGCCCAGCTTTGAACAGAGCTGGTATTCCTAGGGGAAAAATCTAACAAGAAACCAAACAGTGCTTGTAAGCCTCTGGAAGACTTTAAAACCAGAGCAACAATTCATCAAGGGGTAGGGGTACCCATGAGAAAACAACGTTCATCTTAAGGGTGGGTAGTTATTCTCCATACCCTGAGCGTACTTCAATTGCTTAAGTTGACTGTAGAGTATACTGGGGAAGGGAGACTGCTTGAGGGTTCAACTCTGGCAGAAAGACTAAGCTCCATTTCCTTGGGCAGGACGAACAGCAAAACCCAACATCATCTAGTTCATGAGGTATGGGGAGATGTAGTAACCCAATGACAACATCCCAAGATGTAAAAGCACATGGCTAATGAAGAATAACTGGATTACAGAAAGCCAGACAAGTTGGCTCTCATCCACAATGCAGAAGCTAGAGGCAAACTGTCATTTTTTTGGAAAGATACAGGTAGGCCTTAAGAGATCCTGTCCATCGTCTGATTATACTTGTGTATGTATGTGTGTGTGTATAATATACATAACACACACACACACATATAAAATTACATAATGCTAAGCACCTTATAGTTTTGGAAAAACATTGGGAAGAACAGTAAATCAGCAGTTAGAGTTTGAAGAAACCCTATGAGGATTGGGGGTGGGGGAAGAGATATCCAGAAACCATTATTATATACAAACATGTCAAGGGCAAGTTACCTCCCTATAAAGTGCTGGTCAGCCAAGCCCAAGCCATAAAAGCTACTACCACAGCTACTGGTTACATGCCAGAAATGGACAAAACTGTCACTGACATACCCGCTTGGGCATGGACTCTGACCACTGTTCAATGAATATGTCACTAGTAAATAGTGGCACTGATTTCTGATTTGATTTAAAGCCCACTCCATAAGCAAGGGCCTATGTTTGGTCTGTAAGCCAGGACCTGTGGCTAAGAGGCCATAAGCTCTGGTAGGAAGGCTGCTGCTACTGTTTTAAAAACAGATGTTCTGTGCCTGTAAACTGCCCCCTAGACATTTGTATTTACTACTTCTGTCAGTTACAGAGGGAATCCTTTTAAATTTTTTGCAGTAGGTGGTGGTTACTGTAGGGACTCAACCAGTCAAATTGCCAAGAGTAAGTGACTATTCCTATAGCATAGTGGCCCAATGCTAAGCTATAAATAGGAGAAAATGAGACATCCACATTACACCCTCCATCTCCACCTAAGACCAGGAAATATTGCTACAGAGAGACTGGAAAGAATGCAAGAGCAGGAGGAAGAGATAAAAGTATTATGTAGCTGTAGCCTTCATAATGAATGAAACATTCTCTCCTGGAAAGAGGCTCAGAAGACTTAGGAAGGGAACAAAGACCCTTCCTATAAGCAGTAAACAATTGCTGGAAGACAGGAGGCACTTCAGCAGCTTTTATGAGCATCCCTGTCCCTGTAACTCAAATAACCCCCTGGTTCACCAAACCTAACTGGAGTAGAACTGTCTCTCTGGTCTGTGGCCAGTACCCTATCTGGAGTGAAGAGGCATTTGTTTAAGTTTCCCAAGGAAAAGTCACATAACACTTAGCTTTTCAGCATTTTCAGTTGTCTGCATCACTTCTTTAATTCAAGAATTGCTAATTTAAACAAAATTGAGACTTATTTTCCATATCTTATATTCTTTACCCTTTCCAAGTGAGCAATTAAAATTTTTCAGCCAATGTGACAAGTTTTACAATTAGCATCATTAATGAGTTTTAGAACAATTCCATAAACTTTCCTCATGCCTGTTTAGTGTTA